TCTATAATAATTGCGTACGTTTTTACAGATTGAATTTGAATTTTCATTAATGTATGGGGAGAAAAAATTTATTGATACCTATCGAAGATACGTGCCTATTATTAAACAATTGTATACCAAAACTGTTACCAACCCTGAACCGTCTCTTGTGAATGCTGGTGACGACAATGAAGGTATGTTAAAAATTTAAAAATACTTATGGTAAAGTTCTGTGTTATAGGTTGGAATGCTACGACGAGGTCACTATTCATTTTAATACACTTGTTGCCATCTGCCGGAACCAAAATTGTCAAAAAGCAGAGGTCGGTGAACGCAGTGTGAAAACTTATCAGGTTTCAAGATGCGCAAGTACCATTACAGGATATTTTAAAAGATAGGTCAACTTCGCAACCATTCATCCTTGCCACCGGATCATCAATAACGTCGATAAGTAATTATTACGTAGTATTTGATACAAACATAATTCCATCACCTAAAAATGAAATCTTAACCACTTTAGATTTTTGTTTCAAAACTCATTATGTTTTTAATTTAGAATTCGAAAGGGCTATAGAGCATTTTTATCGCTATATAGCGTTTGCTTTTTACGATATGGATGTAGAGATTTCTGCTCGAATGCGTGAGCTAAGATCTAAAATGGACCATTTAGTAACTTCAGATTTGCACGATTAAATAAGAATTCACATTTTCGTTCTTATACTTTTATTTAAATACCATTTTTGTTTTTCGTTGTATTTGAATTAATCATGTTTCGTTGTTATATATGCAATACCAAAGAAAATACAGTTAGTAACATTATGCGACACTTAAAAAAAAACATGCTCTGTACGAAGGAGAATCACTGTAACTTAAGTGTTTTAGAGATGGTTGTGTTAAAACATATGAAACTTTTAGTGGTTATAGAAAACACATATCAAAATGCGCATTTGAAAATACTATATGTAAAGATGAGAATGTATTGGGTGATTTTGGTGAACCTTCATGTCCTACAGTCAATAATACAAATATTTCATTGCCATGTGAATTTAGCTCCAGAGATTGTTTAATAGCAAACCAGCTTGCTCAATCGCTAAAGGATTATACATGTTCGTATGTCTCAAAACTTTATTCTCTGAGTTTACCTGATTCTACAGTTCAATTTATTATTGATGCAAATGAAGATTTTTTGAGAGGTATTTTAGCCAATATCGATATAAACAATGTGGCTGATCAAATTAAAGACGCTTTTACTGATCTTAATAGTAAATATAAAAGAGAAGAGTACTTTAAAGCTAATATTGTACAACCGATTGAAATATTTTTGGGGATTAGATATGACCAAGTGTGGAATAAAAATAATAAAATATATGAACAAGTACCGGTTTCTAGCACTTTTTCATATGTACCAATTATGAATACTTTAAAATTTTTGCTTGCCAATCATTCTTTCAGAAACATTATAGATAACTTTGAAATACCACAATCAAATGCAAGTATATTAACTAATATTTATGATTGTAGCGCTATAAGAAAAAGCAATTTTTTTTGCCGTAACCAGAAAGCATTACAATTGCAATTATTTTACGACGAATTTGAAACCGTAAATCCCTTAGGATCAAAAACAGGGGGCCACAAAATTGATGCCATTTATATGATAGTTAAAAACTTGCCTCCTTATTTTAATTCAACGCTGGAAAATATTCATCTTGTTGCTCTGTTTTATAGTAATGACATGAAAAAATTTGGAATTAATGCTATACTCGAACCGATTGTTCATGATATTAAAACATTAGAAACGCGAGGAGTACTACATGAAGATACTCGGGAATATTACAAAGGAACAGTTGTTGGACTTAGTCATGATAATTTGGGAGGGAATCAACTGTTAGGACTTGTAGAGTCATTTTCCGCAAATTATTATTGTCGTATTTGTATAGTAGACCGAAATAAGGCTCAACAACTGGCTGTGCAAGAAGACAATCTATTACGAACTAACATTATGTATGAGCAGCACTGTGCGGATGTAATACAATTAAATGCAGACTCAAATGTGTTTGGTATTAAATTTAGAAGTGTGTTAAACGATTTAAATGAGTTTAAATTTTGTGACCATCCTTCGGTCGATATTATGCACGATTTACTAGAAGGGGTCGTACAGTTAGAAGTTAAGTGTTTCCTAAAATTTCTCTTATCAGAAAAATTAATTACGCTCGAACATATTAATAACAGAATATCATCATTTAATTTTGGACTAACTAATCGAAGCAATAAACCTAGTCCTATTTGTCTTGATAAAATGGGCAATGCCATTGGAGAACGTGCTGCACAAACATATTGTTTGCTAAAGTTTTTGCCTCTCCTTTTATCAGATGTTATACATAAAATTTCACCAAAACATAAAGGAAAGTATCAAGTCATCACATTACTTTTGCGCATACGTGATATAGTATTTTGTCCCATTAATAAGTTAAGTATGGTTTTAGAATTAAAATCGCTCATTCAATGTCACCATGAACTATACCAACGTGAGTATAATTCTAAGCTTATTCCAAAGCACCACATGATGACACACTACTCACACGTCATTTTGAATATGGGGCCGTTGGTTGGTTTAAACTCTATGCGCTTTGAGGCTAAACACGGTTATTTCAAACGTTTAATCCAAAGTTTAAAAAACTATAAGTCTGTATGTAAAACGCTTGCATTTCGCCATCAGGAACACATTTGGCAATCTTTGGAAAAGTATAAATTTATCCACCGTCCCCACTTATGGGAAACAAAGCGTGATAAGGCTTACTGATCAGATATATTCTACTTCATTGTGTAAATTTTTTCATACAACTTCTGGACAGTTAAACGCAATTACTATTACATCTTCAGTTAGTATTTTTGGAAATCTTTACCAAGATAGTATGTTCATTACTTACAAATAATCTAGATTACCCTATATTTTCTCGAATCTCGAATTACAATTTGCATCAAAAATAATGTTTGCTATTTCGTATGCAATGATTGGTTGACTATTGAACTAAACGAAATGTACAATGCATACGTAATAACTGAATCAACTAGTAACACTGATGACACAATTAATATTGTAGAATTAAATAAACTTACCCATGTAATCTCATATGAATTACACAACCCATATGACTCAAATCTCTGCCTAATTGTACCAAAATATTGTATTATTATATAAAAACATTTCAAAATTTTGTATTTGCATTATCATTATAAACATATGAATTAAAATTTTGTATTGGTATTGTCGATCTGTTTAGTAATAAAATTTTAATACTCAATACATATGTTTTAATAACCTTTACATTATGTTAACATATACAAACTAAATAATATAATATAAAATGCGCATATAACAAAGGGTATAGGAGGGGAAGAGGGGTTAGGAGATTGGGCCTTCTGCGTTATTTTACAAAAAATTGCAGTCAAATTGCCTAATGTAATAAGCCATAGTGACAGCAGGATATTGTCATTTTGGCACAACTTGATGTAAGTTTAACATTATGATTAATATAAAACAAGAACAATATAAAGTCAAATTGACATTATAACATTACAAAAGCTACAAAAACTTATTGCCAATGCGGCTTTTACAAAATTTACAATTGGCTTAAACAGAAAGGGTAGGATACAAGTTAAATGATCTGAATCGCAAAAAGTAAAGTGCCAACTAGCAGCAAAAGAAAAGTCACTTTGGCCATAAAAGTTATATGATATAACATAATTATATTGAAAAATTATCAATACATTTATTCAGTGTTGTGTTTCTTTAGTGGTAATTTAAATCTATCACTATGCTTTTAACAAAAAAATTAAGTGTCAAAACAACTACTTAAATAAAATAAACTTGCGATTGTAAAGTCTTGTAGAGGCATCTTAGTTATTTCCATTGGAGCAACAAATTGCCACTTCGATTGTTGTTCAATTAACAATAAATAAGAGTGGACCTGTGGGAGCAATTTTTTTTTGTCAGTTTGACTTTTCATTTCTTACTGTGTATAGCTACTATAACGTTCAATGTTACAGGTATATCTGAGGAGATATATGTCTTGTGAGCGACTGTATTTCGTTCAAAAGCACAGTCTTATAAGGTATAGCTACACACCTACAAGTACACCTGTCAATTTTACCTGTCACAGGTGACCTACAGGTACACCATACATCTTGGTTGGTTACAAATGTTTAAGAACGGAGCCATTTATTCAGGACCAGTGACAGGTCGAGTCAGGAATTCATTACAAACCAAAAGATCGGGTGCGATAGGTGCCTAGACATAGTACGAATTCCTGTCATTCAAATAAAGAAAGCCACTTCGATGTTCAGAATTGAATTTTTTTTGTAACACGTTTTAAATTTAAATGTAAATGAAATAAGGACTAGGATATGGTAGTAATAATTTTTTTAGATTTGATGGTTCAATTTATGTGGCCTGTACGAGACAGATCGGGATAAAATCTAAACACGTTATATAATTTAAGTATGTTTATTTAAAATGATAATAAACATTAAATATAAATGTATTGCCCCCTTGTGAGGGGGCATCTTGCTGCGCCGATGTCGGCGGAGCCGGTGGTGGTGGGCTGATGGTCTTCTAAAAAAAATAAATAAATAAATTACTTTTTTTTTGTAAATTTCTGAAATTTTTGAATTTACATTTTACAGAAGCAATCAATCAATCTTGTAACTACCAGCTTTTGCTGACGTGTTAGTGAATTTAAAATATTTTTTTTTAAATCTTACCTTTGCTTCTTCTCGACCACGATGTCGTCGTGGCCCTCGTCCCCGATCCCGTCCACGTCCCCGATCCCGTCCACGTCGCCGATCCCGTCCACGTCCCCGATCCCGTCCACGTTCCCGATCCCGTCCACGTCCCCGATCCCTTCCACGTCCCCATCTACTCTTATTATGGTTCTGAGTTCTACAGAAAGAAAAATTGTAAGAAACACTTGTATAAATAGAAATGCTTATGTAATATAAATTTGATTCTGTCGTTAACTTACCCATCTGTCTTCGGGTCGACGCTTTCGGCGTCCCGATGGACCTCCGCAACCACCTCCTCGATAACTCTAATTTCATTTTCTAAAAGAAATATACAAAAGTATTAGCTATTTTATTTTTTACAATTACAATTATGTATTACCTGACACGACAGACATTGTATGTTCTGAAAAATACAAAAAAAATACGTTAACATAATACCTAGGAGACCAGGTTTACCATTGATTAAATGACATACCTACTTTATTAATTACAACAAATTCAGAAAAACTAATTTTGAAATATAAAAATGCAAATCGGTAAAGTGTTATACTTACGATCTTTATGGTTTGAAACCTGCACTTGAACTAACTCGAAAAAATAACATTTCACCCTTTAAATACTTGTAGTATCTGCAGGTGTTTATCTCAACATTATCTCAAATGCTGCCGAAGCGGCGGCGGCGGCTTTTGTGAAGAAATACAATATCTAATGATTGTGCACAGTTACAAGAGCACGTGTTCTTTACCGCTAAATTATCTCTTCAATTTTTTTTGACACGTATTCACGTCGATAAGGAAGCACATCTTAATATTTTTTTTCATTATCTAAGGCCCACTTGTGACGAGAAAATTTTAAATGCAATTATAGACATCAGGTAATTAGTGTTTTATATAGGTAAAGATAGGTAAACGGTAAACCTATTCTATTCAAGAATTCAGAACCTCTTCGAATTTGAAAATGTCAAAAAACTTGCACAAAATCTCTACATTTTCAATAAAATTATTGGACAAACGTCCGTTTTATTGTGATCTAGTCCCTCCCGAAATGCTCCCAATTTTTTCCAGGGGAAAATTCGTTTAAACCCCTAAAAAGTGCAATTTTTTCTCGAAAAATTTCTTCCCTCCTTTATCCTCAGTTTTTAAAACTCGCAATTTTACCCAAAAACGATATGCCTAGTGCACTTTGAGTCTTATCTACTCATACCCCTGCGGGAAGGTCGCGCCGTACCGACGAAAAAATTCGAAATTCGCGCACCCCTATCGGTTACGACTTTCGGAAGTATCAACGTCGAGTAACTTCGCCTCCAGGTTCGAATAAGTGTTTTTTCTTAATTTTTTACAACCCTTACCACTCATTCTTGCTATCCCTCCTAAGTCACGACGGCATCCTCGAAACGCTTACCGTTTAACTTCCGGAGCGTGAAATCACAAAACGGGTGTTTCGCGGGGGAGGAATACCCCTCGCGAGATTTCCTTCATTTTCGCGTATCTTCTTCGCCGCAACGTACCGATCGTATGTACAAATTTTCAAAAAAATATCGTCCGCAGGTATAGCAAATATAATAATTGCGATTTCCCCATTATCGTATATCGAAAAAACCCATCGTCAAGGGGTTAGTTCCGATCCCTATCGCCTTCCGATCGGGCGTCTCCAATAGAGAACTAAATATGTTAACTTTTTCCCATTGTAAGTACATACCTACGAATTACCGTTTAAAAATTATAAAAGAAACTTGGCAAACACGCCATATAACGTTTTTTTTTAAATTTCCAGGACATTTATTTTTCAATCGATTCGGACGGGGAGCGGTGCATACGATAGCTAATAATTCGAGCTAAATATTCCCCATTGAACGTACTCGTCTGGCAAGTCTCTTTAAAAAATTATAACCGAAAAACTTCGCGTCTACGAAAACTTTAACCTAAAAACCTCTCTAACAGCTTCAAATTTTAAAATATTTCCAAAATGCAAGCGGCCACTTATACATTAAGTCTTCAGCAGCAACTTTCCCATTGTAACATAATAATTATAATTAATACAAAAAATTTGTGACATAAAAGAAAAAAAAAGCGCGCGCGCTCGGATTCGAACGTGCGATCTTCCAATTCAAACTCCAACAGGTGTGCCACATCGACTTACGTCTACAATTCTTTTAAACCAATATAACTACGCCTACGTAAATTAGCAAATTATTTAAACGCACATTATTTACTCCACACTTATTCGAAGCACTTTTATAGTTTATAATAGTCACTTCTGAACACTTACCGATCATTTTAATACGTTAATTTCGAGTTGGATCCATCGTTCCTCGAAATGGGGGTTGAAATATATTATGTTATCAAAAATCTCTAAACCTTCCCCATATAGTACGAGCCCTAACAACTAATTGTTGGGACAAGCCATTTAATGTTTCGTTTAGAAATATTTAATTGGAGCGGCAACGCTTATTAAAATTATTAAACAAAAAAATGAAAGTTTTAATATTGAACTATGTATTACATGCAACAAGAAAGGTAATACAATATACAAGTAGTTATAATAAAAAAAATGACAAAGGTCATGAACAATTGTTGACAACTATATGTTGGGACAAAACCAAGGATGTTTAGTTCAATACGGTGTTACATCTCCTTTCGCCTTTACAACCGCTGCTATTCTGGCAGGCATAGTTGCTGCTAATGTTTTACAAAACTCAGGTGTAAATTTAGTCCACATATCTGCCAGTTTTAACTTTAAATCTGGAACTGTTCTTTGAGGATTGTTTCGTAACTGCTGCTTCATCTTATGCCAAAGGGTTTCAATAGTATTTAGGTCTGGACTACTAGAAGGCCATGACAAAACTGTGATCCCATTCTCAGAGAGCCATTTTTGAGTTGATTTGGCTGTATGACAAGAGGCTCCGTCTTGCTGGAAAACAAAATCTTCCTCGCCATACAGCTTCTCGATACTCGGAAGAAGCCTATTCTTTAATATGTTTTGGTATTTCTCTGCGTTTACAGTACCGTCGATAACCTCAAAGTATCCCAAACCTTTCGCCGACATACATCCCCATATCATAACCCCTTTTGGGAATTTCACGGTACGTTTAATGCAATCTGGGTGAAAAGCTTCATTTTTGGATCTGATTACCCGTTTTCGAAAATCCCCCACACATACATCGAATTTTGATTCATCGCTAAATATAATTTTTGACCAGTCGTCTACAGTCCATGATAGCTTAGATTTCGCCCATTGATATCTGTCTTCTGTTTTGTGGTAAGAAGTGGTTTTTCCTTAGCCTTTGTGTGATAAAACAATATTCTCAAAGAAAAGTTTGTTGAATTATTATGACATACCTTATAAAATTTTAGTCCAGATTTGTGTATCCATTGTCTGCAACATTCTCGCGAGAGTTTTAATCCTGACTCTTCGTTCCACTGTGCCGTAATGTCTCGTAACGTATTTCTTCGTCCTTTTTTGCACAATTTTATAAGAGATCGTTGATTTCTTGCTGACACTAGCTTAGGGCGACCTGAACTTTTACCCTTAACACAAATATATCCGTTTTCTCTATAGTGTTTTATCACGTTAAAGACCGTTGATTTTGCAATATTTAAAGCTTCGGCAACCTCACGAACGGTATTACCTTGGCAATACTGCTTTACAATGAGTGAACGTAGGTGCGAACTTGTCGCTGCACCGCGGACCATTTTTATGACAAACTATTATCAAAATAAAGCTATGGAATATGTAGTTGACAAATGACAAATATTATCATTGGTCCCAAAGCCCACTTAGTGAAATTAACTAGCTACTACTTATAAGTGTGGAACATCGTCCCAACATTTAGTTGTCAGAAGTTTATGTACAGAAATGAAATAATATCGTCCAAAATGCTAACAAATTGTGGAACTATTTCATTTATTCGCATTTATGGCAGTAACACAGATACATTTTTATATACTGCCAAAAACCGGATGAATAGGTGTGTAAACATAATTTTTTCTTAGCCATTAAACGAAATGAAATGCTTGTCCCAACATTTAGTTGTTAGGGCTCGTATATGGGGAAGGTTTAGAGATTTTTGATAACATAATATATTTCAACCCCCATTTCGAGGAACGATGGATCCAACTTCTATATGGGGAAGGTTTAGAGATTTTTGATAACATAATACGTTAATTTCGGTTTAAGAGCACTTTTAAAACACGCCGGAATCCGTTTGACAGTTAACCGACACGTAAACTTTATCACTTAATTTCGAACACAAATCGATCACGCACCGTCCCGAAACCGATTTTAACACGTTCCTCGTAGTTTTCTCGAATTTTTGAGACCTTGATCGAAATTCTCCGTCCAAAATTAAGCTCGCAATTAATTAAAAAGATAGTACAGCGCGTTTGGCAATCTTCGGCGCTTAATGTGGGCGAAAAACAAAACGAAGCGGTCACGTGACTTTTGCAGACCTTCGGGAGAAAATTTACCACGGCGCCGTCGTCCGAGTTACCTCCTCGCGGTAAACGGAAAAAGAAAGAGAAAACTTGCCCGCAGGTATCGAAACCGATTTCGACCCCGTATCTCTTCGCCGTAACGCGCTATTCAAAATCTCCGGTTTTTCACCTCTCACCCCCCTCCGGGGGGTGGTAGGGCGACCCGCGACCCCTCGTCTCGTAGATCTCGTCGAGATCTACAATCGCGCAATTGTACGTTTTGCTCTAACTCTAACCGTTCGGCCGGTAGAAGGCGTCAAAGTTGGAAAATGCGAAAAACGTCGTCATCGCGACCGGCACTCCGGGTCGCGCGGTTCCCGAACGGGGCTATAGAATTGAATCGCACCCCGGCACAAAGACGCTCCTCCACGTCGCCCGACGTCTCAGAAAGCGCGAAAAAAAGTTACGGTGCCGTTTTCGAGTTACGAATTTTTTTTCTAAAATTTTCAATTTTTTCACTTCTTATGGCAGCTACCCCGACGGGTGCTGGGGGAATTTTCTTAACCCCACCGAAAGTTGCCCCAACTACCCCTACCCCCCTGCGCCGGCGCCACGACGTCCTAACCCCAACCGTATAGATACGACGCATTTTTTCCGCCCCCCCGCACCTCGACGACGATACTCCCCAGCCGCTCAGGAGAATTTCCCAGTAGCGAAATTCTCAGAATCGATCCGAAATCGTCTCAAAAAGGTCTGATAAAATTTTCATCAAAATCGAATCATTTTTAATTAAACTAAAAATGAAAATCGAGTAAACGGTTGAGTTCCTTATTTAAGGATCGAAAAACAGAAGCTTCGCTTCGGTTTTTCGATCCCGTTAAATAGATACGAAATAAATACGAGTCAATAAGGGTTGAACAAGCCACCCTCTCATCATTTATATCCAAAACGGCACATACTATCACGATCAAATTTTCGTGGATGCCTAATGACGGTTCGAGAATAAATAATCAACAAAAATACCCAGGTGCACTGCCGTCCAGGGGGTTGTAATAGTCACCCCCTTGTCGTATCTCGAAAACGGCACATACTATCACGATCACATTTTCGTAGATGCCTAATCACGGTTCGAGAATAAATAATCAACAAAAATACCCAGGTGCATTGCCGTCCAGGGGGTTGTAATCAGAGACTTGTTATAACTAGACCGCGCGTAACTTAGTACATTTTACTATAAACGCCTGTTGTCAAGATAGTATAGGCAACCAACTGTTCATCGCGGGGCAGACGTACGTTCTGCAGCTTGCTTTAGCCATGTTTATTCTAAATTTTAGTAGCAAAAAAAGATAACATATAGCTGTTAACTGTTTTAATCGAATTTATTGGTATTTTATTTGAACTAAATTGGTATATAACTGCCTTACTCTAGTCCTAATTTGACTTATATGTGTATTTTGATGGTGAACACGTATGGGAAAATATACTCTTAAAACAAAAGATGTAAGTAGTAAGATATGATTATTTAGCGGATTTTGATTCAATATATGCCTATCCAAAAACCCAAATGGGCTGTAACTGTTATTTATTTTTCTTAGACTACTGATAACCATTTTATTTATTTATTTATTTAACCAGAAACCATACAGAATAAAAATTCCAATTACATGGCACTGGGGCTCTGAACAAATATTAGGACTTAAGATCTAATTTTATTTATTATTGAATTTAGGGGATCGTGAAAAAAGTCGATATCATTAACTGAGGACAACTTATTTAAAGTGATCGAGATCTTAATAAGTGGGGAAGTTGTGTTGTTAACTACAAAAATAGTATTATTTTGCCTTAGCTTAACAAATGGTACCTTAAGCTTAATTTCTTGAAGTAATTCGGAAGAGTATAACAAGTTGTGTAAAATTTTGAAGACAAAAATTGTGGAGGCAATGTACCGTCGGGTTTCTAACCTCGTTATATCTAAGCCGAAAGTACTATTTAAGTAATTAAGCTGGGTACCGTAAGAGATCAAATGTGGATAATTTTGGGTTGACCTAAAAAACATTACTCGGATGGACTTTTTCGATCATGTCTGAGTATTTGAGAGTTTGAGGAGACCAGATACATGCAGCATACTCAAGCTTGGATCTAATAAACGCATTATATAAGGTTAGCATTGTCTAGACGTATATTCGTGAAATTGAGTGTATTTCTGATAACGAAACCAAGAAGTTTGTAACACTCATTTGTTAGGTATTCAATGTGTAAGTTGAAGTTAAGGTTGGTATTGAAAAACACGCCCAGGTCCTTAACGGAGGTGACTCGTAGTAAGA